AAAGGATTAGTATGTACTATTAGATCCCACAGGTAAGGATAGGGGTGGGGTGTGTGCTGAGCCTGCTAATACGGCGCGTACACAATGGCAAGGCCACACCTCCTGTGTTTCTTTATTTTTTTTGTTAGAGGGCTAAATATTTTAAAGAATAGTTACAGCCAAAACTTTTAATTGTAAGAGGATTAGTCTTTTTTTTGGTAGGATTTCCCATGACTTCCTATCTCAGAGACACAAGAAATGAGAGGAACTCCCTGGGTTGAGGATCTTCAGCCAGGCTGATTGGCCAGGCTGGGATGATGTAGATCTCATATACATGCAGTGGTGTATTTAGGTTTCATGCTGCCCTAGGCAACACAAAAATGGGCTCCCCCCCCCCCCCCGGAGAGACCCTGACACTGACAAACACCCCCCTCCCCCACGATATGAGCTTGACATTGACCAACAACAACCACCCCCCACCCCAGCAAAAGAGAAGACACTCACCTTCACAGCTCCGGACATCCCCGGGAACAAGAGTCAGGCTCTGCATACACCATCAAGCAGTCCACAGCCTCTCTCAGATCCCACTTAGTCCCCAGGCTGCATGTGTCCTTTCTTCTATCCCTTCTCTTAGGGGGGCAGCACTGCCCCCCTGAAAAATGCTGCTGCCCCCCTGAAAAAATGCCGCCCTTGGCAAATGCCTTGTGGTAAATATGCCTCTGTATATATGAACAGGAATTAATTAAACCTGGCACATGCTGGGATTGTACACTAGACTGCACATGAGCAGCTCGGTATACAGTACAGTACAAAAAAAATGTTACATAGAATGGCTTTGCAGTAAAAAGAAAATCTTTCTGCTCACAAGTTTCACATTTTTGCCTAAAGTTCCTCTTGAATTCTAAGTGCATCTACACTGACAGTTTTCTCTTAGTCCGCCTGCAACGTTGCACAAATACCTGTTGATGCTGCCAGTGATGCAGTTTCCTGTGAATGCAGTTTCCTGTGATGGGGTGACAATGATGGTGCACGGATCCTGAATTTAGAGCAGAGTTGTCAGATTCATGTAGGCTTGCCTGCTTGTATTACAGTGGGAGGAGCTGTTGCAAGGGCGTGGCAATCAAAACTGGCACTGTCCATTTACATACCTATAGCCTGTCAATCATCACCTAGCCACAGCTAGCAACGCCCACTGTGTTCTGGATTGGCAGCACTACCTTTGTTGCTGAAAATCTCCCACTGTTAGCTGCAGTGTCTGGGAGGGGGAGAGTGTGAGACACAAATGAAGGAGGCTTTGTCAGAGTCAGAGAAGGTAAAGGAATTTTTTTTTTTTTACTTTGAGGCTTGTGCTTCACATAGGAACTCAATTTAGGATTTGTTCAGACTACCACACGGGAGCTTGATGCATTCTCTAAGCTTTTCCCACACCCAGGAAAACTATTGGCATGCAATTTTTCTTTCATTTGAGTAGGCAGGGTGCACTCCCAGGGAGATTTCTGGCAGCTTGAACAGAATTCAGTTTGACAGAAATGTTTATCTAAATGTGAATATAAATCTGATTAGTCAGTTAGAAGAATGATATTAGTGATTCCCCATGTGACACATTAAAGTCATTAGCTTTCTAATCGCGCGGGCGGAACCGCATTATTATGGCAGAATGTGTTATGGGAAAGCGACATAAATAGATAAACCATTAATTTCACTCAGTTCCCTTTTCATGATAATATGCTTTTTATATGGATTTGAAGAGCACCTCCAGGCAGTAATTAAAATCAATCAACAAACTGCCAGTGTTAGCCGGCAAACATTGCAACGGCACTAAAATGCGAGTGTCCGCCTAGTTTGCCTTACAGGTATTTCTAAAATGAAGAGTGACTGATTTTCCTGCAGTAGTGCATGATCCAGTCAAATGGAACACCTTTTCCCATCGTCTGCATTTCACATTCTTCAATATGCCAATAGAATTAGTGGGTTTTTTTAATTATTCAAAGATTAATCTGGGTTTTTACGGTGCCTCTGGATGATCCTGCAGTCACTTGTCATGTGCTGTCCAGCCCCCCTGCTTGCAGGATACTGCACTGTGGCTGGATCAGGGATGTGAACAATTTCTTTCTGAATGACTGGAGGTGTAGGTAATTAGAATAGACGTGTACAGTGGGATATGTGCTATCTCAATTTTATTCAATGGGAGGAGTTGGGGACATGGGAATTTGGGCAAAGGGATTTCCAGGAGGTACTGACAAGCAAATGGAAAATGTGTTAGGCAACCTGATGAACACAATTAGTGGAAATAAATTGATACTAAACAGAGACGTGTTAAGTGCCATAATTCATTCACATAAATCATATATATCATGTCATGTATTTTGTTTTGGGTTTTTTTGAATCCTCTAAGTACCTTATTCATGCAGCACTGTTGTGTGCTTATATGATCTCTCCCTGTTCTTTGGCATCTGCAAGGAAAGATCCTTGGGAGGGGTTCTATTACTACAGTATGAGTCTGTGTCTGCACAGCCCTGGTTGGTGCTGTGCAAGTCACATGACTAAAAAAAAGCGTTTTTTTTAGATTAAATTCTAAATATAAAAAAACAGTTTTACAGCTCCCTAAACATGTTTATTGAACATCAAATGTGTATTTTTTGTGTATTTATAAGGTGTAGGCAGAGTCAGTGATGATTGACACTAGCTTTTACTTTGCCCAGATGACATCTGCATTAAAGGCTTTTTTTTAATTTACGGGTATTAGCAATACTATATATATATAGTATATATAATATATTTAATACTGATTTATACTAAAACACAGCTTTTTGTTAGTTTGTTAGTGAATGTAATCAATCAGCATGCTATATCTTGCCCCCATAGGGTTTAGCAATAGGAGGACATGCAGGAGGAGGGAGGGAAGGAGGGTGTGTCATTTACCACTATGTATACACCCACATGTGTGACTCTATGGTCACATGGGCTGCTCAGATAAGAAAAAGGAGGAAATTAAGAGCTTAGAACTGAGCATGCTCAGTAGAGGACACCAGCTGGTCTACAAAATCTCAGCCTGCAGTGGGGACACAGAGAAGATGGGTGGGACAGCTGAAGGCAGGATCAACCAGGTATATTTCACTCTACATAAAATGGATGCTTTAGTGGTTTTGTAACTATGCACACTCTGTTATTTAACATGTGATTAGAGTTTTTCATAGTCTGGGTTTAATGACACTTTAAGAGACAGTAAGATGTTTTATTCCCTGGATGTATTGAAAATGCATGCAACAGCCACTTTTTTCACATTTGTATAGGGAAAAGAATGTTTAAAACCCCTGTCAGATTCAGCAGTGATGACTGGAGACCTAAAGCTTAAAGGGGAAATACAGCCAAAGCACTTTTTTAGCTGTACTTTTCATGTGCATCGGTCCAGGCTGGGGAAAGATCCCAACTTTAAAGTCGGAATCCACCCCAGAGTCTGGAGTGACACTTGGCTCAGCCTTTCAGCAAGCCACTGAGAGCCTGAGCCAGCCGCTCCCCCCCATCCCACTACTCATGGGCACAGCTAGGTGGACTACAGATACCAGCATGACTTTTTTTTTTTTGCACCAATTCAATTAAATAAAGTAGAAAAAGCAAAGTGAACATAAAAACAGAGGTAAAAAGCACTCTACAACAGCTGTCAGCAGAACAGGCCTCTAAGATATTTAATTACCAGCCTTTTTGGTGACCACTATAAGCTTTGGATTTGCCATCTCTTTCTGTCTCGGTGACAGTAGTCACTAGGCTAAAAGAGGGTGGGGGGAGATTTACTAAAACTGGAGCATGCTTTGGATTTGCCATCACTTTCTGTCTCGGTGACAGTAGTCACTAGGCTAGAAGAGGGTGGGGGGATTTACTAAAATTGGAGCATGCAAAGTCTGGCGCAGCTCTGCATAGAAACCAATCAGCTTCCAGGTTTTATTGTGAAAGCTTAATTGAACAAGGTGAAGTTAGCTGATTGGTTACTATGAACAGCTGCATCAGAATCTGAGTGTTCCAGTTTTATTAAAATCTCCCCCTGTGAATCTTTCAAGAAGGGATACATGCAATAATAAAAACCTGCCAGGGATTTCAATGTTTGCTTTAGGCTACGTTCACACTAGCCTTGTGTGCAGGCGGCAGAGAGGCGTTTGGAAAGCGTTTTTACCGCTTCCCAAACGCCTCTGCCAGTTCTGCACATTACAGCACATGGTGCTGTTCTAACGGGAGCGTTTGCATCGCGTCGCGTTGCGTCGCGGCAAAACGGACGCCTCTGGACGAGTCAGGAGGCTTTGAAGCCTCCTATTCTTGTCTATGGTGCCGCTCCGCAAACGCCCGGCCGGCGTTTGCGGCGCGGTTGCGAAGCGGTTGCGGGGCGTTTGCGGAGCGGTAACACCACTCAAACTGCATTATAGGCGTTTGTGGGGCGTTATTAACTCTCGGCAAACGCCTAGCAACCGCCGCTAAACCGCGCATGCGGCGTTTGCGGAGCGTTTGCCGAGCGTTAATAACGCTCTGCAAACGCCGGACCAACGCTTGCCAAACGCTATAGGGGCGTTTGGCAAGCGTTGGCAAAACAGCCTAGTGTGAACGAGCCCTTAGACATACTCTAAATGACAAAGGTTCACGTTCAACCACATTGTACCATTAATGGTCAGCTGTACTAAAAATTCAGCTTATCCTAATTCCTGGCAGTTCAAATAATTTGCTGGTTTACATCTGGATATGTCACTGTTTCTCCATGACTGAGATATCCTAGAGCTCCGAGATATACAATGAGCTTTTCAAAGCCAAATGATGGAGAGCAACACCTAGCTTATTCCCTTGTGGGAGACACAAACTGTTGTGGGGAAATTCCACCCATGGAGTCTCTACCAAATATAAGGAGCTTATGGGTAATTCAACATCCTTACCCCAAAAATTTAATTATCAGTTTTTTGGGAGAGAAATATTGATCTTGCTGATGTTTGAAATGTCATTTCTCATTTTAGTAGTTGCTTTAATATTTCTTTCCTTGGCAGATATCTCAGGAGAACATCAACAACAAGATGACCGCCTCAAACCTGGGCTGTGTGTTTGGACTGAATTTGGTGTGGCCACAGGAAGGAGTCCCATCCATCAATGCCCTGGTCCCAGTAAACATGTTCACAGAACTGCTTATAGAATTCTATCCACAAATCTTCAGCTCCAGGACTGTCCTGGGTGAGAAACTCCCATAATCACTGTGCACTATACAATGGACAATTCATAGAAACAATATGATGGACAATGATAAATTACTATTTCTAGGGCTATACTCACCCTTGCTTCTGTTGTCCCCCCCCCCACAGGAATGGTGGAAAATAGGTGCATTTCCATGTATATTGCCTTCTTAGAGGCACTCACATTGCCCCCCTGCTCTGTGATTAGCTTCACCTTTTTTGCTAAGCCTTTCACTCCATGCCAGTCATACTACGCTTCATACGCAGCAACAATTCAGATCCTGCTGGACAGACAAACGGCAGTTGCATGGTACAGGTAAAAAAAAAAGCTTGTCCATCCCTAGAGTGGGAACAGCTATCACTTCTAGTCTAGTAGAAAGAACCCTTACAAAGGAGTGTATGTGGGCTCTTTTCTCTTGATGGTAGATAAAGGAAGCAATGGAAGTGTTGCTTGTGGCAATCTCACACTGATTAGCTCCAGTTCTCCATAACCTGGTTCAATATACAAGGTTACATGCAAAAGACCTTGCTGCACCCCTGAAAAGTGATCAACAGTGTATCTTATTTCAGAGGTATTTAACAGCAGCAAAGGGGTGATTTGTCGCTTCCTCCCCACCTGTTTCAACCCTGGAAATGCTGCACCACCACGCTGCAATGGCACGAATGGATCATGTTCAGTGGCAGTACTGCCACCGAATGCACATGGGGTACAGTTCTTGCTGCAATTCATCAAAAGTGTGGCATGTGTACACTTCAATTCAGTTGCCTATACAGTCTGGAGGGCTGACTGGGGGCAGTAAAACTGTAGCTCAACCACCTGTTTTTACCACCCACAAACTGTAAGTTTAAATGAGCCATAAGTGTGTTGTTCAAGCTGAGTTGGTTAGACGAGCCTTTCTAAACCAGGATGTTGCAGCGTCCTGGTAGAGAAAGGCATTCAGATGAAACCGAGCTCCCGCTCCTCTGCCAAACTGTACATCGGCACTGTGGGAGCTCAGTCAGCACAGGAAATGCACTAGGAAAACCCCTCCCCATTCCATTGCTTTCACTTTCCTAAGTGATGAGCTCTGCTCCTCCCCCTACAGTGCAGAACTCAGTAGTGCGAGTGCAGGTAAAGTACTGCAATTTTTAAAAAGGCTGTGTGTGTGTGTATGCGAATGTGTGTTTATACATGTGTGTATGTATATATGTGCCTTTGTGTGTGTGTATGTATTGTGGAAACTCGCTTCAAATGGTAGAGCTTTTCTTGTTTAAGCACACAGCAACTCGCTTCTTTAAGGGCTTTTTTTTTTTGCCCACTTTTATTTAAAGAAAGTTCAAATAAACAAGAATGCTTCCCACGCAGGGGTATCCATCATCAAGCAAATTAATAGTATTCAGCCTCCTGGCTTGCACGCAGTTTTAAGTCTGCCTCCTGCAGACTCTTCCCAAAATATGGCACCAGCACACAGCTAGTCTGGCTTCCACCTGACTCCAAGGCAGAGACCTCCCGTCTGCCGGGGTGGAGCCCTCCTGACTCCGTCTGCCGGGGTGGAGCCCAGAACTATGGTTAGTCCTCTATAAAAAGGCCTGCACACACCTGTGCAATCAGTGTGCTGGGGGTTCTCAAAACACGGACCCCGGATTGGAGATTTCATCCCTCCCAGATCTCTTTGAAATCTCCAGGCTCCAGATCCCAAAACAGACTTAATGAGTAAATGAGGAAACTGAAAAGCCAGTTTCCTCTGCAATCCATCAACTCTCTGGAGCCCCTCAACCTGCCTGGTTGAAAATCCAGGGTTTTCAGCTTTATTTTGGCCGTGGCAGGACACCACACTGCCACATATCCCCCCCCTTTGTTTTGACCCCGTAGGGGGCGGAACACACAAACCTAAAACCCTTGCTTTAGGCCTTCTGTGCGGGCTATCACCTGTAGAGGTCCAATCCTGGCTGACTTCGTTTTCATCAAAGGGAAACACTACTCCCTGCCCCAAGAGGTGACTTCCCCTGTCTCCCCTTACTTGGGCTCTACTACTTCCCCATGCCTTTTTACGAGTGCGCTTCCAAAAGCGCGGTCTTTCTAATTTCCTTAAGACTATGCTAGTCCTTTTACCACTAGGGGGTTTACAAATCTCAGTACCCTTTGTAACCCGGGGTTGACTCCTAAGCTTTAAATGCCTGGTACCTGTAACATTACAACGTGCTCCCTCAAATTCCTCTAGACCATCCCTTTTTGCTTTATTTAATTTTGATGGGGTTATATTTTTAGACCCTTTAGTAATAGAGGTGGGCTCTTTTATTTGGGAATCAAACACTTTTAACATCCCCTTGTTAAGCTTTGGGACAGTTCCCTTAGACCTTTCATTCTTACAACTTGGGCGTTTACTGGACCTTTGGAAAACTTTTCCAGAGTGACCTTCCTGAACCTGTAGGGGGCCTATTTCCAGACTCTTAACCTCTCTTGTGTCTGTTAAGCACTCATTACCTCTTTCAGGAGAACCAGCTACCATGTCAACCTGACTACCTGGTCTACTATTCTTTTTGTTATCACACACAGTAATCAGACAATCCAAATTCGTCAACACATTTCCCTTTTTATCATTATCAAATTATTCTTGTCAGAGCTCATTTCACTAGTAATTGGCAGGGCAGTTTCTGGAGAGGAATCACACACAGCGGAGTGGGTGTCTCCCATGGAAACGTCACTACCCATTGACTTCGCTGTCACAAATAACCCACCGCTGGTAAAAGGCACCGTTAAGGATAAACGCTCAGCAGAAGCTTTGCCCACAGCCCATAAAGGAGTTAATGGTGTAGTATACCAAACTGATATCCATAGAGAAGCCGTGGAAGAGCTTATTGACACTGAGCCTCAGAGTATTTGGGTGAATCCCACACCTGGTTACGCTCTGGGAGAGCCCCAGGTTATTGTGTTGGGTACCTCCAGCCAAGAGGAAGCCTCGTTAAGAAGCACCACCTCTGAGGCATCAGTAAATGAGTGTCTCCATGTCTCCAGGAAGGTCTTATGTGTGGAATCGGGCTGTCTTTTTATAACAGACCTGCTGAAGGAAATGTTAGCCTTCTGGAGTGTACAGCCGGTGTATACCATACTGTCTCTTCCATGTTCGGGAGAGCTGGTACAGTGGAGTCCCGCTAATCGGAGCTTGGTATTACAGGCTATACAAAACAAAGATGGTCAATATAGGAATTCTGTGATACCATCCTTGTTGGTAATGGTGAAAATTGTCTTTCAGTGCATGGCTGGGTTGCTTCATAGCAGTAATCTGTATGAGAGGCACACCAGAGTACTGTTGGACAGGACAGAGGTTTGGGCAGAAGTGCCGGAAGACACATGTATATGTGATGTGCTTGGGGTCGTCAACCCTAATGTAGCATTATGTAAGGATGGTTTGGTATCAGGACAGTTGCTGGCAGAGTCTTTTGTGACAGCGAAGTCAGTGGGTAGTGAAGTTTCCATGGGAGACACCCACTCTGCTGTGTGTTTTGAAGAAGAGCTCTACCACTTGAAGCGAGTTCCCACAGTATGTATGTGTATATATATATATATATATATATACACACGTGTTTTTTTATATGTATGTATACATGTGTTTTTGTGTGGGTGTATATTTGTGTCTTTATGTGTATATACGTGTGTGCTTTTTATGTATGTGTGTATGTATGTTACTTTTAATCCTGAACCCTAATCCTGTGTGACTAGAACTGCTTTTTTAGGGCTCGTCTATAATAGCAGCAAGGACTGTTGCTCCTCTGAAAAGTGACCCATGATTGGATCCCTTTTCAGAGGCATTTGACAGGTGGTGAAGAGACAATATTTTGCTGCCTCCACAGCTTTTTTTAACCCCCCAAATGCATGTATACTTCTAGCCCTGGCTGCTGCCTCTGCAGCTAAAGGGGAACAGTTGGTGGTGATAAAAACATCTCAACCGCGTGGTTTTACCCCCCAAGGTGATGTCATTTTTTTGCCACTTTTTTTCGGAAATGAAGACACATGCTGTTATTGAGGGGGGGTAAAGCACAAAACTAGATACATAGAACTGGATACATTTAGTTTATAGGTCATGCAGTGGGAGCAGCAGGTGAAGGGGGGTTAATATATACACGTCACATACAGTGGCAGGATGGAGATGAACAAGTTACACAAACAGAATTCTGTTCATCCCTAGTAATAGGTATATCAGTCCCTCCCCCTCCCTCCTCTCTACCGGTCTATGTGTAGGGCAGCTTTTTACAGCAAGTCAAAGCTTGGTTAGAAAAGTCAAAATATGCAATTCCCACTGCCTGTATATCTGGATCTACTCATCATTTTCACATGTGGTTTGCACTGTAGGTAACTTCTATTTATGTATTTGTTCTTGTATTGTTTACTTTGAATTGGCCAGATTTCTGACAGAATTACTGTGTTGTCAAATGCCAGATTCAGAGTTTCAGTCTCGCCCAGTTAGAGGAACTCAGAGAGGTAAAAAGATCAGGGGAACCACTGGAGTCTGTGACCTCAACACAAGGACTTGAGACAGTATTCCTGCTTTACCTGGTGATTAGAACAGTTTTCTTCCTCATTCACATGGGTGCTGAGTTCTGTACACCATGAATGAATGGGCCGCTTGTTTATGTTACTGCAGTTGCCAGTGCTACGTGCAGGCAGCCCATGTAAGCGTATGGGGACACAGCGGCTGTATGACACAGCCTTTTTTCATTTTTTATATAAAAAGTAATTAAAAGAGATTTACATAAAACACATTTCACATAACAAAAGTTCACAATAAATGCATCATCATCAAATTAGTATTATTATACAGTATTTATAAAGCACCAATAGTTAGCTCAGCGCTGTACATTACAGAGAGGGACAGAACATGTGACAGAACAATACCAATACAATGCAAAACATGAGGGGATTGAGGGCCCTGCTCTTTCGAGCTTACAATCTAGGAAATAACCAAAAGTACACTTCCACTTACAAGCATGTCAGTGAGCGGCCCCAAACGCACAATGTCTGCATTCAGGGA